TCCCATTGCTGATTTGTGAATAGTGTTTATGAGTTGATCGAGCTACTGCTGCTGATTCGTGTGAACTGAACTGCTAATATCCTGATAATGAAGATTGGATTCACTCCAAAGAACGATTTCTAACAAGTCCACATCCTCCTTTGCCTTTAACCTTTCCTTTCCATTACCTCTGGTGGGTGGTGGGCTAGAAGAAAGGTTATAACATTTAAGTATACTTATTAGAGTAGATTTTGAAAAATGTTAAGCCTACACTTTTTACTAATGCTTTCTCTCACTATGAGCAGAAAAGGAACACTGGCAAAAAATTTGAAGTCATTTTTTGGGAGAAATTAGCAACAAATACCACCACCACCCCCCAAAAAAACAAGCAATTTCACTTTGTGAAAAGAACTAATTAAATTCTCCTTTATATTGTAAAAGAGACAGCAATTTCTGGCACCCCTACATTCTATACTAATGCAAAGAAATCAAGAAATCAGAAAAAAAACAAGTAGAGTAGTTCAGAACCCTTATGGTTCAGTTCAAAAGTCAAAGTTATATTGATGTACATTTGGAACTTTTAGGTTCATGGTCCTGGTATTTGAGGGAGCCCCAAAACTAGGGAAAAAGGGAGAGATTCCAGGCAAATGAGGAGAGATCCCATTCTGAGGAATAGACAGGTAGGGAAACTTAGGCTGTTGGATGACCATATTGACCCATGAACTATACTGCCTCTGAGGTCCATGAAGGTGCCTGCAGTCCATGCTTTGGCCAAGAGTCATATTAATATCTATGGTCTAAGCTGCTGTTGGAGAGCATGTTGATGTCTGTTGTCCATGCTGCCAACAGAAGCCATGTGGATGTCTGTGGTTCAACGTTTCAGCAGAAATCACATAGAAGTCCATATCCCACAGGAAAACATGTTGATGCCCATCACCTGTGTAACCACTGAAGGCCACTGTAGCACCATGAAAGGACAGCATGGTTTCTGGTCGAGCACTGGTGGCTGGATATCACAGGAGACCCTGCAGGGTTCCCTGCAAGGGATGGCATGCATTTTGCCATGCTCCCAGAGTCCAGGCTTCTGACATGAGGCCACAGATCTCCATCCATCCATACCTTTCAGGCACGTAAGACAATGTCCACTAGGCCCTCCACAGGTAGAGGGCGTGACTACAGGACACAGAACCTCAAGACAGATCTCCATATTAATGAGATACCTAAAGGCTAGAGGGCATAACCAATTAAACATTCCTTCCCAGACCCTCCTCCTTGCAAAAGGTATTTAACCTCAGGCCTGCCCTGAAAATACTGGGGTATAGTTTCTTCCATTTTCTGCCATGACAATAAACATTTTAAGACCATGGACTATCTTTTTCTTCTTTGGGAACCGCCATGGGGAACCATGGAGAAGGTTTTCATACCGAACAGCTATCTAATCTCCAGCTGACAACCTCTCTATATTCTCAACCATGGAGGCCCAGCAACCCAAGTAAGCAAGCTGAGCCAGCCGTGACCCAGACATGCAAGACTATCATCCTCACAGGATGCAGCCAGAACTTCTCCCCTTCCCCCGAGGGACCTCAGACTGTGTTCCCCCACCTCGAAGGGAGTCGAGTGCTGCAGCTTCTCATAGCCCAATGTATGTTCTGTGGTGGAGTGAACACAGTCAAATTCCTGTGCCTCTATCCCTTTGAGCAGTGGCCCAAGCCCATTGGAGGGGCAGACATGGGACCCACAATTCAACCCAACAACAGACCCATGCACACTCCAACCCAAAAGGCCATGTGGATGCTGGTGGTCTGTGCACCTGTTTGAAACCATGGTGATGTTCATGAACCAGACCACTACCAAGGGCATGTTGGTGTCTATGGCCTATGGCCCAGAGGCCACGTTGATATCTAGGGCCTGTACTACCACCAAGGTCCATGAAAGTGTCCATGGCCCATACTGGAATAGAGGTCTGTGTTGATGTCTGTGGTCTGTACTGCCACCAGAGGCCATGTTGATGTCCATGGTCCAAGCTGTTGCCAGAAACCAAGTGGAAGTCCATAATCCATGTTCCAGTTAACTGTAAAGTACAAGGAAGCTACTTTTTTTTGTTTTGTTTTTTGTTTTTTTTTTCAAGACAGGGTTTCTCTGTATAGCCCTGGCTGTCCTGGAACTCACTCTGTAGACCAGGCTGGCCTCGAACTCAGAAATCCACCTGCCTCTGCTTCCCACGTGCTGGGATTAAACGCATGCACCACCACTGCCCGGCAAGGAAGCTACTTTTGCAGTGGTATTAATGACTGTAGACTCTCAAGTTGAGAGAACTATAGAAGACTTCTGAAACAACTCCTAGCTCCATCACCACCACCACCATTCCATTGACTAAAAAAAGTGACAGCCCAGAAAGGAAGCCATCAAAGAGAACTCTTTTAAACTTTAGGTAAGAATGCTGAAGTGTAGTTCTCCAAAACTGATAGCTTCTGGCAGGAGTGAAGATAGGGAAGGATTTAGTTTTCTTTAAGGAGCTGGCTATTGAGAGGCTGGGGGAAGGGGGGGGTGTTAACCATCCTCCACTAAGTATACAGTCAATACAATTTGGACCTGTTGTTTTTTTCTTTTTTCTCCTTTGGAGGGACTGGGGGGAGGTCACAAGGGTTGGGAACAGACCTGAGAGGACTAAAAAGTGTGTGTGATCAGGGTGCAGTATGTGAAATTCCCAAATAATCAATAAAAATATTGTGTCAGAGAAAAATCAACTTTATTGGGGAAAAATCTTCTGAGAATTGTTTCCTCTCAGTCAGGACACAGAAGCCATGGTCCAGAAGGAGCTGAGGCTTCATCTCATGCTGGAAATTCAACTTGGTAGTTTAACAACCACCCAGGTAGTACTGGTTTTAAAAGTTTGAATGGGGTCATGGAATATAGCTGAGATGTGGCTTTGTTTAGCAGGGCTGGAGTCCCTCAAGGGAGGCAGAGAGAGGCCATGAGTGAAAGTACAGTCTCAGTTGTAGTATAAGGCCCAGGATTGAAGAGGTCATGGAGAAAAATCAAGGGTTGGCACTGTGGCAGGGTCAGGGAACTTGAAGACAGCCCAGAAGAAGCTGACATAAGTGCAGTAGGAGACCCTAACATTTTAGAGATAGTAGTACCAAGAGAACAGCCAAGGACAGTAACTGTGGAGTAGGCCTCGGTCTATGAGATAAACTGCATGTGCTTGTAGCTGGCAGTTCCCAAGAAGTAAAGCTAGCTGTCTAAACCCTTTGGAGCCTGGAAGATCATGAAAAGGTCCCAAATGTCAAGCATCAAACTTTGTACACTGTTGAATTTGGATTTTGATTTTATTTGATTGTGACTGTGCATGTCCTAGTTCTTCCCTCTCAGGGTTAAAAAGTCTTGAAGTTCTTTGTCTTTAGTTTTGTTCTTGTTTTGCCTTACAGGAGCCCACAGTTAGAGAGATTTGGGGTATTTCAGAGAAAGTTTGGAATTTACCTGTGCACTTTGGGAGGGGCCCTCTGGTCTTCATTAGTATGTAAATCCCTAGGGCCTGAGGCCTATAGTCTGGCCTACTTGACTGAACAATGTAATTCTACGGAGACTGGACTGCTTTTCAGGACCCTGGGTTCTTAGGGCAAGCCAAACTTCTGCCGGTTCTCACGCAGAGTCTCGGGGTTCTAGGCGACTGCCCAACCATGACCCAGTTTGAAAGAGACTTTGTAGTTTGAAAGAGACTAGGTATTATAAAAAGACTGGACATTTAGAGTGTTGAAATTTTTAAAGACTGTGGGACTTTTAAGTTAAATGTTTTACACTGTCATATTAATACTAGCATGACACCATGGACAAACAAGAAGGGTTGTGGCTTAGAAGTGCTGTGTTGGTGTGTCAAACTGACAAGGGGCAGATTATTATGGTTGATTTTCATATCAACTAGATACAAACTAGGGCTATCTAAGGAGAAGAAATCATAATTCAGAAAATACCTTTGTATGACTGGCTTGTAGGCAAGTCTACAGGTAATTTTGTTAAGTGACAGTTGATGTGGGAGAACTGCTCACTGTGAGTGGCGCTACCCCTGAGTGATCCTGGGTTGTATAAGGAAGGAAGTTGAATAAGAAATAGGGAGCAAGCCAGGAAGCCATGTCCTCTATGTCCTCTGTATCAGTCCCTGCCTTGAGTTCCTACTCTGACTGAGAGTGTAAGCAAAATAAACCCTTTATTTTCCAAATTGCTTTTGGTCAGTGTTTTATCATAGCATCAGAAAAGTAACTAAGCCACTCACTTTGAAGTCAGTTTGTAATTATCCATTAAGTAATAGTCTAAGATTATTAAAACTAATGTGTTGAAATAATTAAAATTGACTGAGGAAAAAGTGGGGTGTTTTTATCATTTGGGATAGTTACAGTGGGAATATCTCAGTTAAAACTTCAGGTATTTAGAATTCAGCATTAAGATCACACAAGGTAGAGAACTGAGACTGCCTGAACAGAAATAAAAGAAGAAAATGAGCCACTGGTTTTAAAAACAAAACTTTTACCTTTCCTTCCATTTTGCTCAAGGATCAGACTACAGCAGATCTAACAAACAAACTAGAATCAACTCGCAGACTATGGTGATATATAACATAGCCATTTGATAACCTCAACAAAATGTCGAATCTTTTTACCATCATGCACTGCTTATCAACAGGCTTCAGAGGATGATTTATAAAGCATTAGGAATAAAACACAAGACCATCACTAGATTATGATCACTTATTTATAGGCTTAACATAAAGTCACTATTTTATTGGGAAAATCTAGATCTAAGCCTATGATTTTCATCAGAAACCAAACTGAGGTAACAAAAATGTTCTAGTGTTTGGAAAAAAGAGTACGAGTGGGTCATAGGAAAGTAGAATGCATGGCATGTTATGGAAGCAGTAGTCACAGTTTTTTTATAGATTAGTAGTGGGGTGTGTGTGTGTGTGTGTGTGCGTGTGTGTGTTCAACACTACCATTTTCATTTGCAAGTAGACTGAAAAGCATACAGACTTATATTTGACTTATATTTAATCAAAAATTTCTGTCATTACATTATTCCCATCCAGGTTTCCACAGGTCTGAAATCTTCTTCCTACAGATAGAGGTGAGAACATTCCATTGAAAGACAAAAACAGAGCACAGTCAGGTTGTCTTAGGCTTAAGAGTTTCTGGGTTTCGTCCTTGGAGGAGTTGAGGATCTTCCCAAGGCCTTGGACCTCGAATATTCTTCCAGTTTTCAAAAGTGGAGTCCTTTATTTTCTACAGAGCCACAAAGTTAAACATATTAGTTCAAAAGCCCAGAGGCTCTGACTGACATTATCACTAAGTGGTGAGCAAGTCAAGGAAAACCAACAGGCTTAAGGACAAGGTCTGCAAACAGACCAATTCCAAGCCAACATCTGGGACTCCCTGGGTTTAGAACTTTACTTGCTTGCCACAGAGAGATGTTACATCTACCTTTTCCCATAATAAGCTCTCAGCAGCAGAAGGCGTTTACACTCTGATTCTAAGAGCACAAAGAACGGAAAGAGAATGGGAAAACAGGAATAAATGTGAAGCTGTTCTAGTGTAGCAACAGCTGAAAGGCTGGTGTGGGTCACAGTAGAAAAGAAAAGAACTAAGGTGCAGACCCTGGCATCTTCACAAGAAAAAAGAGGACCAAAGTGCCTTGTTCTGCAACCAGGAAATGACACTGGGCTTCAGGATGAAGTCATTCTCTTCAGGTAACCTGAGGAAAAGTATCCATCCTATGTAGAACCATTCAGCTATACTGATGCACCATAGCTTCCCTTAGTCTTAACTGTCTCAAGCACAGAAAGGAGGCTGGAGAAAAGGGGGGGACAGAAGAGTTCCTTTATCCTCTCCAATAGTCACTTTTATATACCAGCTTCTGTTCTGAAATAACTGAGGGAAGAGAACAATGCTATGAGATCAATGAGTAATTTATATCCAAAAATGGAGAAAGTGGCATATGCCTTCCTTGATGTTTAGGTACAAAGTATTACCTCTTTTACTGAAGAACCATACAATCTTTACCAAGTAGCACAGGCCACTTTGGCATTGTCTCTCTTATAAGTGATTGCTAAAAGGCAAGACAAAATATTCTATATTCAGTTCTTAACTTTTATGATTCCCAGATAAGGCCTCCACAGCACAGACTGCCCAGACAGTGCTCACTTCCTCAGACAGACCAAGGCTTCAACAAAGGACAAGGAAGCAGGAGGTGAAAGTGCTCTTCTTGAAAAGTTAGGAGTGTATGTTAAATATATATCTGGATGTACAAAGTGCTATTAATTTAGCATAAAGATTTTCAAGTATGGCTACAAAATTATCTAAAGCAGCAGTTCTCAGCATTTCAAATGCCACAGTCCTTTATTATAATCTCTCATGTTGTGGTGATCTCTCAATCACAAAATTATTTTTGTTGCTACTTCCTAACTGTAATTTTGGTACTATTATGAATAGTAATGTAAATATCTGATATTTCCAGTGGTCTTAAAGAGGTCATAACCCATAGGTTAAGAACTACTTATCTAAAGGCACTAAAAGGCCTTTTAGTTTGTTTTGTTGTTGTTTTGTTTTGTTTTTTGGGTTTTTTTTTTTTTTTGTGGTTTTTCGAGACAGGGTTTCTCTGTGTAGCCCTGGCTGTCCTGGAACTCACTCTGTAGACCAGGCTGGCCTCGAACTCAGAAATTTGCCTGTCTCTGCCTCCCAAGTGCTGGAATAAAAGGTGTGCACCACCACTGCCCAGCCTTTATTTATTTTTTGAGACAGAGTCTATATAGCCCAGGCTAGCCTTGAACTCACTATGTAGTCTAAGTTGGCTTTGAACTAAAAGCAATTCTAGTGCCTTGGTGTCTTAGTTGGGGTTTTACTGCTGTGAACAGACCGTGACCAAGGCAACTCTTATAAGGACAACATTTAATTGAGGCTGGCTTACAGCTTCAAAGGCTCAGTCCATTATCATCAAGGCAGGAGCATGGCAGCATCCTGGCAGGCATGGTGCAGGAAGAGCTGAGAGTTCTACATCTTCATCTGAAGGCTGCTAGAGATGACTTCCAGGCAGCTACAGGTCTTAAAGCCCACGCCCACAGTGACAGGCCACACCTCCTCCAACAACTATTAGGAGGCTACATGTCCTAATAGTGCCTCTCCCTGGGCCACGCACATACAAATCATCATGCTTGGCCTCCCGAAAAACTGGCATAGCAAATACGTGCCACCATTCCTGGCAAAAGTAATCACCATTATCCAGGTATGTTAAGGTATACATGCTTATTAGAATTTAAAATAATTCTTAAGATGTGAGACAAAGTTGACATGACTGAGTCATGGGAACATATTGTGTTTAGGGGCCATTTACAGGAAAGACTTCTTGTATAAAATCTACAAAATGTGTGTTTGGCTACATGTCAGGCTGTACACACGTGCTAGGCAAGACTCGAGCCTCACTGTCTAACACCCAGTGCTATAGGACTTATTGAGGAGCACAGGACATAGTGAGGAAATGCATTAAGAACTGGTCTCCAGGAAGGTATCTGGAAGGCGGCGACCGCGTGGTTACTCTGTGCCCTAACTGAGTTGTAGTTGTTAAGATGACCAAAATAAAGGCTCTTCTCGAGGAGTCTGAGGCGCAGGCGGAGGGCGGCAGCGAGGAACGCACGTACGAAGAGCTGCTCGTCAACCTGAACCCCATCACGCAGCCCCTGGCTTCCCGCCGCCTGATGCGAAAGCTCTACAAGTGCATCAAGAAGGCTGTGAAGCAGAAGCAGATGCGTCGCGGGGTGAAGGAGGTTCGGAAATTTGTCAACAAGGGCGAGAAAGGGATCATGATTTTGGCAGGAGACACATTGCCGATTGAGGTATACTGCCATCTTCCAGTTCTGTGCGAAGACCAGAACTTGCCCTACGTCTATATCCCCTCTAAGACGGACTTGGGTGCAGCCACTGGCTCCAAGCGTCCCACTTGTGTGATCATGGTGAAGCCCCATGAAGAATATCAGGAGGCCTATGACAAGTGCCTGGAGGAGGTGCAGGCACTGCCCACACCTCTGTGAGAGACTTGGGCTGCAACCCAGCCCCTTTTCCAAGAGATGCTGGGCTGGCTGCAGGCGGCTGCCCACCCTAACAGCATCTCCCCGATTTCTTGATGTGTGAGTCTTCCCAGACAGCTCCAGCAGCTGTTCTTGGAGGTCGAGCCAGCATCTTTGCCATCATTGCCGTCTCCTGTTGAGCTTTGATGAAGACAGTTCCAAGAATATGGCATAGAAGTAAATGCTAAGGCGAAATGTGAAAAAAAAAAAAAAAAAAAAAAAAAAAGAACTGGTCTCCAACCCTGCCAAGTACACACCTCCTGTCAGGATTCTCATGCTACCCTGACATCCAGCTAAGACACTCAAGAAAAAAACTTTTTGACTCACAGCCCCAAATTTAAGACCAAACCCTGGCAACATCCTTGTGTGTGTGTGTGTGTGTGTGTGTGTGTGTGTGTGTGTGTGTTGGGGAGGACATTTAAAAAATGAGGCCTACTGAATTACTGAGTTACTGAGCACAGGAAACAACAGAGCTTGTCCCCAGAATCTCCTTTACCAAACAAAACAATCAACAAAAAGCTTACAGACATGAAGTGCTGTACTGGTGAAACTTACCTGAAAAACTCCCAGCCCTTCTGGTTCCAAATTTAAAATAATTTAGCAAATACCACAAATTCAGATTAAATTTATTTTTTCTTCACTGTTAATTTATCTTGAGAAACAGAACCAGTCATGACTAATAAGAATGTTACAAAACATAGAATATTAACATACTATACCTCATATTCTGACTCTAAAGTTATTTTATTCACTTTCAATTTTTTCTCCAATTCAGGATCAATCTATAAAAAAGAAAAAAAGAACATATATCATTTAATTCTTTTACATTCATTTTTCACTTTAATTTTTTTTTTCATTTTTTACTTTTAAAAGTCATAGGAGAGCAGAGACTGAAGGTAAGGCCATCCAGAGAGTGCCCCACCTAGGGATCCATCCCATCTGCAGACACCAAACCCTGACACTACTGTGGATGCCAAGAAGTGCATGCTGACAGCTGGTACAGCTGTCCTCTGAGAGGCTCTCCCAGCGCCTGACCAATACAGATGCAGATACTCACAGACAACCATCAGACTGATCCTGAAGAAGAGTTAGGGGAAGGACTGAAGGAGCTGAAGGGATTTGAAATCCCATAGGAAGAAAACAGTATCAACTAACTCTGCCCACACACACATCCCAGTTCCCAGAGCTCCCAGGGACTAAATCATCAACCAAAGTGAATACATGAGTGGGTCTGTGGCTCCAGCTGCTTGTGTAGCAGAGGATGGCCTTATCTTGAATGGGAGGGGAGGCCCTTGGGCCTGTGGAGGCTTGATGCCCCAGTGGAGGGGAATGCTAGAGCGGTAAGGCAGGAGTGAGTAGGTAGGTGGGGGAGCACTCTCTAGAAGACGGGGGATTTACAGAAGAGAGAACAGGAAGGCAGACAACATTTGAAATGTAAATAAAATAACCAATTAAAAAAAGGAGAGAGATTATATAATCTAAAAAAAAAAAAGAGCCATGGGAGAGCCAAGCATGGTGGCACAGCCTTTAATCCCAGCACTAAGGAGGCAGAGACAGGAGACCTCTGTGAATCTGAGGCCAGTCTGCTCTGTAAGGAGTCCGAGGCCAGGCAAGGTCTCAATGAGACACTGTCCAAACAAATAAACAAACAAACAAACAAAGTCATAGGAAAGACAGGTAAGAAAGTTCAACCAATGTAAAGCATATGTCAAAATCTCTAATGTCAACTGTGATAATTAATTCATAGTGATAACTAAAACAGAAGTCCAGCCACTGACATACATTGAGGAATTGTCTACGAGGCATTTGACATGTACATATACTGTTTAATGCTCATAAAACCTATAAGATAAACATAAATTTCATCCTCATTACTACATGTATAGAAAGTAGGACACAGGAAGTTGAATAACTTGTAAAAGACACATATTGATATTAAGCATTGGCCCCCTGCCTCCAGAGGCAACATTATTCACCCACCGCCAGTGTAGATTTTGTAGTACAGAAATATTTAAAATGTTACTATATAATACACTTGAAAATAAAAGAACCTTTTTCACAGACCAAATAAAGAGTTAGAAATTTAGGGCTACATAGTGGCACATTGAAATTTTTGTCTATTGCCTGTGTGTGACAAAAAAAAAGAGTGTAACTGGTGAAATAAACAAGACACAGTACACAAACACGCTGAGTATGAGTGACTTAACAGGGCCTACAAACAAAGTGATGGATGAGCCAGGGGTTCAATCCCAGAATTCCACTAGAATGATGTATGATAGAGACAAATGTGACAAATCAAAAACGGATAAATTATGACAAGTAGATCTAAAAATCCCAAAACATATGTACCTGAGCTTCCAGAATTATATTAGTGCTATTGGTCATGTGCCATTTCTGCCTTATCAGCAAACACTATCCTATTGTATAACACTTCCATAAACTATGCTCTTGTGTTTCTACTTTCTCTTCAAAGTGAGATTCAAAACAAAATTAATTAATTAATTAATTAAACAAAATAACTCAATTAAGTCTTCGGTTTAGGGTTTCTTCCTAAGAGCTAAAAATTGGAGTTGAAAGTCATTTTCCCGCTACTGCATTTGCCAAGCCTGGAATAAGTACAGAATCATAACCAAGGGTTATCATTACAGCCAGCTATCTCATGCTTGCTCTCATAAATGAAATCTAGTAAATAAATAAATAAATAAATAAATAAGGAGAGAAAGTAAAAGGAGGATTATTAGAAATGTGCACTGGGAACAAAGAGAGGAAAACGTGGGAGATAAGAAAGGATATTAGGAGTGTGGTGGTTTGAATATGCTTGGCCCATAGGAAGTGGCACTAATTATGAGGTGTGGCCTTGTTGGAGTAGGTGTGGCCTTATTGGAGGAAGTGTGTCACTGTTGGGGTGGGTTTTAAAGTCATATGCTCAAGCTCTACCCAATGTGAAAGAGAGACCACTCCTGGATGCCTTTGTATCAAGATGTAGAACTCTCAAATCCTCCAGCACCATAATTATATCCTTATGGGAGATGAGACTTTTAAGTAATTATAATTCACAAAATGTTCAAGTCACCAAATAAAAAAATGGATAAAATATGACATAAAAAATTCTCTAGAGTATTAAAATACATAATAAAAGAATTAGATGAACAGTTTAGAAGTAAAAAATTATGTACTAAATCACAAAGTAAAAAGAACAGGGTTAGTAAGAAATCCATCATAACAAAAGACAGATTTAGTAATTAGAAGATAAAACAGTAGAGAGAATCCAGGGATGAGTACATACACAAAAAGAGTTAAGTGTAGATTAACAGTACATCCTGCGGTGCATACAGGCTATGAACTTACACACAGTTTAATAGTACACTCTACAGCTCTTACAGCTCATGAACTTAGGCACAGTTCAATACTACACTTTATGAATCTTAAAGTCTCATGGAGGAAGCAGAAAGAAAACTGAGGTAAAAACATTTTTAGAAAGCATCAATTTTTTGTTTTATGTATCCCATGGTTTTCCTTAAAATCCTCAAAGAATCCAAATGACAGTCTGAAACTCCAGTTTTTTTCCACAGTGGAGTACCTAAGAGTTAAGGAAAGCAGTTCTTGCTGCCATGATTCAGTATCAAGCCCTCTTCTCCTCCCTCTTTATGTTGAAGGTCAAACCCAGAACTTGCTGGGACATTAGGCAAGTGCTCTACCACTCAGTTTGATCTCCAGGCCAAGCAATCACTGTGTATAAAATAATAAAAAGACCCTTGATAAGACTGGACAAGACCAACTATGTTCCTGCTGGGCAAAAACATGTCTAGTATCAGAACTTCCCCTGTTGGCCACCACTAGGCTATATCTAATTGCACCTCATAAATTGGAAAAATGGAATTTTAATAAGTTTTATAGACCAGTCAAATAAAAAATATGATAAGTAAGTATGGTATATGCACAAGCTAACTCAACATTTACGATTTGAGGTTAAGTATTGGTGTTTTAAGATGAACCAATTTAGGACTGATTTGTAATTACCTGCCTGTTTCTTCCTGGACATGTGGGATTCAATCTTCTTATGTGTTTTCATCCCCATATCCAACTGCAATTTCTTTTGTGTATTGTGTAGTCTGCTGTTTTGGTTATTAACTCACTAATTCATCTGTCATTACAGTAACATGATTATTCAACTTTCTTTGTCAGTGATGTCTGGATAATATCAGCACTACTATTATGATTATTTTTATTTTCATTATCTGATCTTGAAAATAGGGTCACAATGTTTACACTAAATATTAAGCTAGTACTCTCTTGTTACAAAACGCAGTAGGCAAGTCAAAGACTGACCTACTCACATGTACTTAAACTGCAAACTTAGTCATAGTACTTGGTGGGGTACAACAAAGGAGGGTCCATTACCACAGTGAACAATGCTTAATGCTTGTACTGGCCTATAGTGGTCCATTATATATTACTTAGAAAAGCCTTCAAATATCAGGTATGTGCTCCCTCTCTCCAAATTACAATATATTTCTCAATTAATGAACCAGACTTCCTATGTAACATACAGCACAAATTTGAGAGTGAACGTGTAATTACAGAGAGTAAAAATCCTAGCTCTGTCCTGGCATACCCACATGACTGCATGCAGGATAGTATAGCTTTCTGGGCCTTTGTTTCCACACTTGTAAAATGGAGGTCCTAGTATACTCCTACAATAATACAGATGCTATAAAAGGATAGGTGTCTTCATTTATAATAAAATATTTTATTTTAGTATCAGTTACTAATGAGAAATGGCAATATACTTATAACATCACTGCATTACAATGGAACAGCTAATTTATAATTAGAGACGGAAAACTACTGATCCATGTTCTTTAGTTTCTTAAGAATCCAAAAGCAACTACATCTGAGAGTATTTGGGGAGAGAAACAACAATATTACAAGTAAATACAGAGAACTTTCCCCAAACGCTTGATATGATTCACTTCCATAGATTCACATTAGTGATATTTTAAACAAGAAAAGGTACAAAGACCTGCTATTGGATTTGCAAGACAAAACAGATTAAAATTGCTAAGTGAACTGAGCATGTAATTCTCCTACACAAGTCAAACACCAATTATAGTTCTTACCTTAACTGTCACAGCATCATATCGGATTTGTGAAAATTCCCGAAGACCAAAAGAACCTCCAACAACCAGCAACTGAAACAAAGGAAGGGAACAGCTACATGAACTAGAAGGGCAACTCTGACTAGCCCTTCAGTTAAACAATGCTTTAGACAGACTATAAATAACCTACAGATTATTTTTCTAGAAAATTATTACTCATTTTTTAAAAGCAGATGTGGCAGGTGTTACCATCAAAGGCATTCCAGTGACACCTGAAACCTGAACAAATATTAAACCCTAAATACACTATGTTTTTTTTATACATAAAGACATGTAACAAAGTTTATTTCTCAAAATAGGTACAATAAGATTAGCAACAATAACAAGTAATAAAGTACAACAATGGTAATATATTGCCATCTTAAAGCTTATGAATTACTTACATCTGGAATTTTCCATGGGATTTTTCTCTTTACTTTTTCTTTTTTCTTTTCTTTTTTTTTTTTTGTTAACAATAGACAAGAAGCAGCAAGTGAGATGTCAGTAAGGGAGGCCACTATACTATCCTGGAAAAATTGTAAGATCGTAACTGATGTTATAAATCAATACTATATATGTATTTGACTTTTCTTGTTTACTTTTTTTTTTGAGACAGAATGTGATGATTTAAATAAGAATGGCCCCCATAGGCTCATATATATGAATGCTTAGTCATCAGGGATTGGCACTATTTGAAAGGATTAGGAGGTGTGGCTCTGATGGAGAACTTATATCACTGGGGGAGGCCTTTGAGGTGTCAGAGCCTAGATAGCTCTCTCTTCCTGCTGCCTGCAGGCTTAGATGTAGAATTGTCCAATCATTTCCCCAGCAGCATATCTGCCTGCATGCCACTGTACTCCTCAACATGAAGACAACGGACTGAACCTCTGACACTGTGAGCCAGCCCCAGTTAAAGAGTTAAATGTGAAAAGTTGCCATGGCCATGGTGTCTCTTCACAGCAATAGAAACCAACTAAGGCACAGGGTCTCCATAACCAAGATAGCCTTGAACTTGGTACGTGCCTGAGGATCGCCTTGAACTTCTGATTCCCCTGCTTCCAAACTCAAGAGGAAATAAAAGCACAGCCAACTAAATGATAGTCTACTGTTAAGTATTTTGGAGTGGACTTGTCACTGTACTTAAATCCCTTTAGAGATGTATGTAACCTTAGAAGGTAAACAAACAGAAATGTCATTGGTTAACTAACTGATCAGACCAAGTTAAAAAACCACAAATGTCTAACTCTATCCAATTAAGTTATTTTTGTAGGTTTTGTCTATAATTTTTTATATTTTATTCTATAAAATATTATATATTATATATATTATATTTTATAGAATAAAATACAAGTATTATATATTTTCTGCCAATGTGGCAGGACAGAACTCTTTGAACCTCTTCGGGTTCAGAGTGCTGTTTGATTCATGAGCCTTCTTTGATCACACAGAATCAGTAAAATTTGTTTTGCTTGAAATTTTAATTTTTTTAAGATTTATCTTAGTATTTGTGCATGCATGCGTCCATCCATGCATGCATATGTGTATGTATGCATACATGTGCCTATTTATGTGTCAGTACATGTGAATAACTGTGGAGATCAGAAGAGGGCATCAGATACCTGGGAGCTGAAGTTATAGGCAGTCTTGAGCAGTTGGACACAGCTGCTGGGAAACTATGGCACTCTGAAAGAGCAGCGAGTACTCTTAATCAGGGAGCCACCTCTCTCATCCCTTGAGTTTTTAATACTATAACTATATAGAGTACACCAGGAATAAAACTCTGGCCTTATCTACATAGAATTTCTTTCAACTTTATGACTTTGCAAAACTGGACATTTGTAAACACTGGCTCTTACTTTCTTAACAAATTATAGAGTCTTGGAGCATATGCCCCATTCTTCTGTATGCAGAAACCCTTTCAGAGAGCTTCCAAACTGCTACTGCTGTTTTACCAACGAGTGAGCTGGCTACAATCCTCACATCAGAGATGAATAAGCTAAGCCATTAGGGGCAAAAAGCTTGATCTCCATATAACTGCTTAAGTAATTAAATAGAAAAGGTATAAAAACATAAAATATAAATTTAGAATCTGAGGTTCGTAAAAGCAACAAAATTTCACTGTTATAACTTTAAAACTTCTGACAAAAAGAAAATGAAAAACAAAACCAAATAAACTCAGAAGGTAACAAATGGGGAGAGCATCTGTGGTGTGTGTCCATGATGTGCACTCGCGCACACACAGGTTGAAGGATGAAAAGCAAAACAAAACAAAAAAATCATCAAAACCCAGCATTAGATTTAGAGTCTCTGTGTTCATTAGATCAGTGGGTCAGCGAGAGGAACTGCTCTGCCTTACCTCGGTGCTTTTCTTCTAAGAACATTCTCTCCTCCTGGTTCCTCTCTTACAACCTAAAGATTCACCTCTCAGGTTTTAGGGCCCTTCATCAACCCCCATGATTTCTAGGTAAATAGCAGCCACAATAAAAGTTTGTATGTAACAATTATACATATAAATATTCTTAGCTACTTTTTAAAAAAATACTAGTTGGGATATATAAGATCAAATCAAAATAGCTGCTTTTACACATACATATAACATGTAATTATGTTATATATATATACACATACACATATATATATATAAAAACATGGAACAATAATATTTTTTTTAAGTCATGAAATTGAAAGGGAGAAAGGAATCACAGGAAAAGGAGGAGGGGGAGAGGTAGAGATAAAAGGATTTAAACCGTGCTTATCTATATTCTCAATATATATACATATTAATTTTAAATAGAAAGAATGCCATTTTGCATAAAGACAAGGTGTGTGTGTGTGTGCATGAAGCAAACAGAAATGAATGACTAGCTATACATCTATAAGGAAAAAGGTCATAATGACTAACTTCATCTGAAGAACCTGCTTTTGTTACATGACTGGAGGCTTCCTTACTGTGCCAGAGCACACCGGACTATGCGTCATAAAACAGAAAAGGAGACCCCCAGAACTCAAAGGAAGGTTTCTCAGGTTGGGCATAGAAAGTGCTCTTTGTTTAACTTGTGGAAGGGCATCTGGAAAACAAATTAGGCATAAGAGTTTTGTCTACACAGAGCTCCAGAGTATGCCTTCATAAGACTGATATGACCATTTAAAAACTGACCAAGAAAGAAATTTCTATCTGGGAAAGAGCCTTTTTCTTTCTGATTAGCTCCAAAAAAAAAGAGAAAAGTACTAAGTCTACATAGAAAGCCTCACCTTGAGTTTTTTTTTCTTTCCATAACATCTTGACTTTTATGATTTTGAAAGAAAATCAAATTGGCCCCCACAGCGACAGATAGTGATTGCAAGTCAGTAGCTAAAATCCGTGTTTTTGAATTGCAGAGGAACTTGGAGAAAACAAATTTTACACATGCCTTATGTACATGAATTGCTGTCATTTACGAATGCTTACCCCAAAACTCTTAAAGCAGATTGCAGACTTCCCTAATTATCAAAACAAAATCCAAATACAACAAAGACGACTGGGGAAAAAAAAAAACCACCAACATATTACGTTTCTAAAATCAACCTTTTAGCAGTGCTTACATACAAAAGCCGGGAACTTCGCACGTGCCAAACCTCACATCAAGTAAAATGTCTTGTATTTTTAAAAGCTTTTGTTTATTTTCCTTAGTATAACTTCGGAATATGTAAAGCAAATTAACTTATCAATGATCAAACAACAAATGAATATAATTATTGGGGCTCCGCACTTGATTAGTCTTCTTGACAAAACTCAACGTCTAACCCAGGAAAGCTATTGTAAAACCCGGATAGTAACAACCCGCGCGTTCAAGGAGGGAAGGGAAAAGCGGGAACCCGAGGTACACTTTTGAGCGTAAACTAAGAAAAACAAAAACCTCAAAGCTCATGTCTCTCCCAGTCCCCTCCTACCACAGACATCGCACGCACACACACACACACATACACACACACCCACACACACACCGACACACACGCAGCAGTATCCGGAAGACAGAACCAAGGTGCCACTCAGTCGAGGAAGGCCCGCCCCTTCCGGGGGCCCAGACACGCTCAGCTCGGGCCGCAGCCACTCACCAACATGGGAACTCCGTAGCGAAGGGTCTTGTTCTTACGCAGAGCGCGCAACACAGCGGGCGAAACCATGGCAGAAGCTGCGGCCGGTTCAGCCGCCTCCAGAACGACCCCAGCGCGGCCGGAACACCTCTCAGGCGAAGTTGTAGACTCAGCGCTGGCTGTGGGTGCCAGGTCCTCACCTGATAGGCCTCCGCGAGCCAAACGTAATCAGTTATTCTTAACACACTCCCGCTTCCTCCCTCCCCCGGAAGTCGAGGCCACTGAGCTTTGGTTCCGGGGCACAGGATACACCGGGTGCAATTTGGGTTTACGATTTGAAAACTCTGTAATTTGCGTATTCTGCATCTTGACTGGCGGTTTATGGCTCAGTAAACTCAGCTAAAGGGCGGGGCTGGTTCTAAGCTAATGCACAAGTAGCACCTGGTTAATGAAGACTTTTTAAGTCGTGGCTCATCAGTTGTAACTGAACTTTTTTTGTAGTTGTTCTTTTATTTATTTACATTTCAAAGTTATCCCCCTTCCCGGTTTCCCCTCCACAAACCTCCTATCCCACCCCCTCTCCCCTGCTTCTGTGAGGGTGTTCCCCACCCACTCCCGCCTCCCGTCCTGGCATTCCCCTACATTGGGGCATCAAGCCTTCACAGGACCAAAGGCCTCCCATTGAGGCCCGACAAGGCCATCCTCTGCTACATAAGCAGCTGGAGTTATGGGTCCCTCCATGTGTACTCTTTGGGTGCTGATTTAGTCCCTGGGAGCTCTGGGAGGGTCTGGCTGGTTGATATTGTAGTTCCTCCTATGGGGTTGCAAAGCGGTTCTTTCCCTAACTCCTCCATTGGGGACCCCATGTTCAGTCCAATGGTTGGCTGCAAGCATCCACCTCTGTATTGGTAAGGCTCTGGTAGAGCCTCTCAGGAGCTATATCAGGCTCCTTCCTGTCAGCAAGTGCTTCTTGGCATGAGCAGTGATGATGGCTGCATAGGTATTATCAGCAATAGGTTTGGTGGCTGCATGTGAGATGGATCCCTAGGTAGGGCAGTCTCTACTCCACTCTTTCTCCCTCTATTTCCTTTAGACAGGAGCGATTCTGGGTTAAAATTTTTGAGATGAGTGGGTGGCCCTATCCCTCAACTGGGGCCATGCCTAACCCCTGGATATGGTCTCTACAGGTTCTCTCTCCTCTTTGTTGAGTATTTCAGCTAATGCCATCCCCACTGAGTCCTGGGAGCCTCTTGCTTTCCTGGCATCTAGCACTTTCTCTTGGCTACCCCAAGTTCCCCATCCCCCATTGCTACCTACCTCTGTTCAATTTCCTGACCCTGACTCCGTACATCTCCCCTGTCTCCTTCCACACCTGATCTTGCCCCCCCTTTTCCCCTCCCCCCTCTCCCTCTCAGGTCCTCCCTTTCTCTCCCATGATTATCTTGTCCCCCCCCTTCTAAGTAGGACTGAAGTATCCACACTTTGGTTTTCCTTCTTGAGCTTCATATGGTCTATAAATTAGTTGTATTGTGGATATTCCGGGGTTTTTTTTACCCCAATATCCACTTATCAGTGAGTACATACCATGTGTGTTCTTTTGTGACTGGGTTACCTCACTCAGGATCATATTTTCAAGTTTCATCCATTTGCCTGCAAATTTCATGAAGTCCTATTCTTAATGAATGCCTGTTTTTCATTGGCTATGAAACTACAACTTATTTGTGTGCCTCTGGATGACTTAAGGAACACGGAAACAAAAAAGAAGAAACCGGCCATCTAATAGGGACACAAACTAGAATGTATGATAGCTTGTGTGAACAAAACACCCACCTTGTCATTTTCCAGGAAGAGCCAGAGAACCTTTGCATCTGCATCTGCCTCTGCCTCTCTGATGCCACTGATATGCTTCTGGAGGAACCTCACAAGTTGTCTCCACAGGAGAAGCTACACACATCCCCTTAAGCTTAGGCTAACATCTATGTCAGGGGGAAAGAGGACATAAAGGCAAAGGGAAGAGGACATGATCTTAAATTAATCTTACACAGCACTGGAAGACAGGTTTATACATAATGAAAATATCCTCTTGGCTTTCTCTGTCTTCACTGTCTCTACAATTTTCATAGCAAGGTTTAAAACTACTTGTTAGAAGACTCCGGTCTGTGGTTGGTTGGTTGGTTGGTTGGTTGGTTGGTTGGTTGGTTTTGTCAGTTTTAATTCCATACTCCATCCTGAAAGACATAATATTCCTTACTGAATATGCCATGAATTTACACACCTCCAATTTGTACCTCCTGGGACATAGTACTTGAAATCCACTGTACTCTACAGGCATAAATTATTCCCTCTTCAGAGTTCCAGTAGCCTTTGACTTATATCTTGCCACACTGTGTATTGTGTTAGCACATAAAAGCATTACTACTGTTACTAGCAAACAAACAATAAAACAGGAGGATAGCAACAGTATTTCAGAGTTTGAATTTTAATATTGAGGGAAAGATAATTTGCATTAAACAAAGGAAACTGTGATATGTCCAGGACAACTTTTCTTAAAGTAAGACTTTTGTCAGTCCCTTCCCTTTCCCCTGTTTCTTCACTTGACTGTAGAAGAGAGATCTGCAAATGTGGGAATGAAGTAGTAGAAGGGTGAGTGTTTTTAAAATGAGAAGTTAACACAATTGGAAGTACTGGAAGAACAATTTGTAGATATACTGAAAATACTCTGGATCAGAACTTAGGATTGAAGGGATAGGTTTATAATAACACTGGTGCTATAGATTATGAATGGTGTCTCCTCCAAAGCTGGTATTTGTCATTTTGGGTTGACTGTGTTGATCCTCCTGCTTCTGGAGCACTAGGATTACAGGTGTATGTCATTATACCTTGCCTTGCATTGACATCTTTCTGTTGTTTTGAAAAATCTTCTCCATACCAAGATGAAACCATAAAGGGATACAAGATTTATTAAAATAGTGTGAAGTGTGTAACAGTTACACAGCATCGACTTTCATCTTATTCATTTCTTATGACATTTCAAAACTCATCCAATGTCTGTATTACTTAGGTGTGTTAGTTCTCACTTCAACAGGTGTTAGAAATCAAGGGGTCTGGCTCCAAAACTGGGCCTCTTCTGACCTCCTCACTACATAGATCATCTCTCTGAGTCGTACTCCACCAAAGTTCTGCACCCAGCTAGTACTTTATAATGGGATTAGTCATGCACATATATTCTAGATAATGCTATAATCAGTCATATGTTATCCTTTTCATATATATATCCACATTCATGAAGGGTAACAGGCTTATCCAAGATCATACTCTGTCAAGTAACACAGGTATTCCTTCCTGTAGAATTGACTATTATCTAATTGATAATGGCTTCTATGAACATTTCATGGATCCTCTCCAACTCTCAAGCTTTTTTGTTTTGGTCTTGTAAACCTTAAGTTAGAGTCTTTACTCCTTGTGGTAGACATTATGTTAGAGCCTTAAGTCCTTGAATGAGAAACAACCCCATAGGTTCAAATGTTTGAATGTGTGGTGGTTCCCAGCTGGTAGAACTGTTTAGGGAGGAGTAGAAGGTGTGGCCTTGTCAGAGAAGGTGTATCACTAGAAATAGGTTTTGAGGTTTTAAAACCCCATGCTATTCTCAGTCTCTCCCTTCCTCCTCCCCACCTCTCTCCTTTCCTCCCTCTCTTCCCCCTGCCCCTCCTACGCTCCTCCCCAGATATATCTTCTGCTTTGAACAAAGATAAGCTCTGTTACTGCTCCAGTGTTATACATGCTTGTCTGCTGCCATTAAACTTTGTTTTATAAATTATCTGGATCATGCCGGGCGGTGATGGCGCACGCCTTTAATCCCAGCACTTGGGAGCAGAGGCAGGTGGATTTCTGAGTTTGAGGCCAGCCTGGTCTACAGAGTGAGTTCCAGGACAGCCAGGGCTACACAGAGAAACCCTGTCTTGAAAAAACAAAAAACAAAAAAAATTATCTGGATTATGGTGTTTTGTCACAGCAATATAAAAGTAACTAAGACAATTCTTTTCCACTTTAATACCTCTGTCCCAGTGGGGTGTGTGTGTGTGTGTGTGTGTGTGTGTGAGTGTGTCCTTCAGCATTCAAGCTGTCAGACTTGGTGGCAAGAGCCATTACCCCAAGCCATCTTGCTGTTCTGTTCTAGTGACTGTCAACATCAGTGTGTCTGAGAATCCTCTAGAAAATACTAAAAATCTATTCTAGGCCCTATCACCAGTTTCTGATTGTGCAGGTGAAGGATGGGACCTAAAATATATTTCCTAACAAGCTCCCAGGTCATACTGAAACTGAGGTTCTAGGGACAACACTGGAGAGCTCCTGATCTATCTTCTTTCCCTAAAAACATTTTTTTCCTTCAAACTTGATGAGTGTGGGAATTTCTGGCACGTTGCTAAAACCTGGAAACCATAGCTGCCTCCTATAATCCCTAAGACAACATGTCCAATAAGAAAACCTTCTTTTGGTTCTTCTCACCATTTGATGTATAATTGGAGTAGTTGAGAGTGGGTTTATTTCAGCTCAGTCTTATTTAGCTAGAACCAGTTACAACTGGGTTGTTAGTACAAAACTAGAAAACTCTTCCTCCTTTATGCACATTCTCTGATAAAAGTATCACAAGTACTCTCTAGGGTGTTTCCAGAATCATCTTATTTCCTATGGGGCATGAGCTACAGGATAAATGAGGCCACGTCACTGCTCATCTAGTGGTCACTCCCTCTCACAGTCCTTCCCCCATCCATCCCCTTCTCTGAGAGGATAGACCCCCTCTCTGGATATCCACCCATCCTGGCCCATCATGTCTCTGGGAGTCTAGGCACTTCCTCTCCCACCGATCCCAGACAAGGCAGCCCAGCTAGAAGAACATATCCCACTTACAGTCAAAAGCTTTTGGGATAGCCCCTGCTCCAGTTGTTTGGAAAAGATCAAGCTGTACATCTGTTACATAAGTACAAGGAGGCCTAGGTCCAGCCAGTGTATGAGGGTTTATTGTTGTTGTTGTTTTTGTTTGTTTTGTGGAGAGCTTTTAGGGCTGCTTGGCAGGAATCTGACATTGGCCAAGGACAAGGAAATGGGCTTTAGGCAGGAATCTGACATTGGTCCATGACAAGGAAGTAAGTTCAGGCAGGAATCTAAGTCTTAGGCTAGAACAAAGAAGTAGGTCTCAGGCATGAATATGACTGTGGGCTAGGACAGGGAAGTAGGCTCAGATATTTTTGTCATCCTG